ACAAAAGCACAATGATACAGATAAGTTGCTGCTGTCCGAGTAACTCTGTCTGTTTAAAAAAGGTAATCAAAAGAGCTTAACCACATTAAATATGAACAAATTGAAATGTTTTTACACATTTGAAATCATCAATCAATCAGTCATTGTTAGACCACCATTGGAAACAAGGAGGCACTGGATGGCCATTTAGTCCTGATATGGGACTCATCAACAGTGCGCATCCCATACCAGGACGAAACGGCCGTCCAGTGCTTCCAGGTTTCTAATGGTGGTCTAACAATGACTGATTGATTGATGATTTCAAATGTGTAAAAACACTAATCTCCATAACTCTAATTGAAAAATGAAATGTATCTGAAGGTACTACAATACACGTGTGATGACTGTTGTTCAAAAGGAAACGGATTTTTCTATTGGGGATATGAAAATTGTGGTGGTGTTTAGTGCTCTGAGCTGGTTGTTTTGGTTGTGAAGCTTTCATTGTTCTTCTTTTGAATAACATCAGCACAAACTTCAAATAGAAGTGAAGCATTCGAATTTCTCCACGTTTGACCTGTAGCTTGTTCTGCTAATCACGATCTTGATTGGTTGTTTTTTCGACCTTAAACCTGTCGTTGTCCGCACCTTTGTTTTGATTGTATCCCCATTATGATCTGTTTCTTGATCCTATGTCACCTATGATTTTCCTGATTGGTTGATAAATTGGGTCAATGTCGATGTGTTTGTTGATTGCTGAGTGACCTGAGTGCCAAGCTTCTAGAAAATTCTCTTGTGTTCTTTTTGCTTCCCCTATTCAGTATTTCCACATTGTCCTAATCGTATGTATGACCATAATTGTCGATGTGTATTGTGATATAAGCGAAACGTTGTCATGGCGTTTGACTGCTGATTGATGTTCACGTAAACGAAGTTGAAGAGGCTGTCCACTTTGTCCTATGTAGTGTTTTTCACAATCGGAGCAGTTGTTTATTTTGTAGATGATATTTGTTTTTTCCTCCTTTGTCATTTTGTCCTTTGGTGTCTACGTAGGATTGATTGAAGTGATTCTGTTGGCTTGTGTGCCACACCAATTCCAAATGGTTTCAATAGTCGTGCTGTATGTTCCAATATGTCTTTGATGTATGCCCGAGGTTAATCCGTTTATTGGTTCCTGTACTTGATTTCGCTTCTGTTGACGATTTTGGTTGATGCATGAAAATTATATATAAACCATGAGAAGATACAAAATGATCGATAATTCGAACTGTTCATTTTCATTGATAACGTTGTGAAGTGACGCAAACTAATTTTGTTTGTGTATTTCCGAAGTACTACATAGTAAACCTCTAAGATATGATGATTTGCTGAGGTAAGGAATTAGATACTAAATGAGGATGTCAAATCAACTGGCGAACTAGTAAATCGTCATTAGTTTTCGGTGACTGGCACATGTGTAATGTATCCTCAGTTGCCGAATACCTCAACGGGCAGTACTGTTTGAGTTAAGAATAGGTTAAGATAAAGTTAGCCAGGGGAAAAACCAAAACCTGGTATCAACCTCTGAAGTCAGTAACAAATAGACTGAGCCATGTTAGTAGGTGTAAACTATTTGATGGGGGTCCGCGGCACAATCGTAACTTTACAGTTACTACTAATACTGCATCTGTCTCTACTACTCTGACCTAACAATTTCATATTTCTTTGCTAATGTGATATAGCGACTTCAACTAATGTACATACGTACAAAGTTCTACATTGCAACCAACTGACTGACTGAATAACGTATGATAATCATATTGGTGGTAAGTTTGAAATCTACTAGCATTCAGACTAACATCTTTGTAAACAGCTTAACGGAAAGAATTCTAATTTCAAAATTAATTTTCATTTATCCAACCATGTTAATTTATAACTGATACATAATGGTTTACTTAAGGATGACACTAAGGAGGCTCATTCGACTGTACAGAATGCCTGAGAAAAGATAGTTAACATTCTGTGGAATTTTTATGAAGGATTAAACTGTAAGATCGTGCATGGAGGACAGCTCATAGACTCATTTGAAGTAAAGACTGGTGTCATGCAAGTTTGTTCCGGTCACACAATCTCGTTAACCTAGTCACAGAATGGAATATGAAAACACCGACATGTGAGGGAAAGCACGGAATACATAGGACAACTCAGATGCAGCTGGAAGATCTGAACATCTCAGAAGATCTAGCCCTTCTATACCACAGGCAACAATAAATGCAAGAGAAAACGACCAGTGTAGCAGCAGCCTCAGTAGCAGTAGGTTTCAACATACACAATGGAAGAAGCAAGATCCTTCAATACAAGACAACATACATCAACCAAATCACATTTGATGAGGAGGCTTTGGAAGAATTGTTAGAGGATGCTCCTCGGTGACTTATGCTTCAAATGGGGGTAACAGGCGTAAGTAAGTAAGAAAGTAAAGTTTACTTTCAGTTGTAACTTTCAAATAACTAAGTACAATCAAGTTTTGAGTGTAAAATAAACGTAAACTGGATTAAAATCTGTATTTTAACAGACATGTTTATATGATAATAACAGATTTCTCATTTTCTTTTGTTCAAATAACTTCATTGTCATTAAAAAAAAATGACCAGGATAATAAATCGACTAGTAGTTGAATTTATATTTGAAACATGAATGATCTCGAAATTTGGTCGTCTACTAAATCCTCTATTTGGTTGAACAACACTCTGTTGAAGACTTTTCCTTCTATTCAGACAGGAGTGATTTCCTTATAATAGTTATCACACTTGCTGAGATCTACTGTCTTTGGTATTCTGTTGGTACTAGCTCTTTTTCCCATACCTTTCTGATAAAAACCGAAAACGTCTTTACACTGACCCTGACGTCTACCTTCAGTGCACCAGCTGGTATATTTTCTGGTCCTGCTGCTTTGCCAGCCACGATTTGTCAAATGACCATGCAGGTCTCTTCCATTGTTGTTGGGATAATATCTCTAAGAATGTCTGTAAGGGTTGCTTCATTGTTGAGTGGGTTCAGTGTAGCTGGTCTATTCAAGAGTTGGATTGACTTCTATATTATTGGAGATATCAGCTCCGTTCTCACATCCTCGATCATCCTTCTGAACTTTTATCAATGTAGATATGGTCGGTTTCGGTCACTATAGTATGATCCGGTGGGACCTATATGACTTGGTGTGTGTGTGTGTTTGCGTAGGAATATAGTGCCTCTCTATGACCAGTAGTAGAGGTAGTAGAAGTATGAGTAGTAATCGGAAAGATACAAGCTTGAAGATGATATTAAATCAAATAAATTTGAGAAGAGAAACATAAAGGTCATGAGGAGTTCAAATCAGAATTTTTTAGAAAACAAAAAGAATGCATTGCAAACGATTTTAAGCCATGTCATTCAAAATCTCTAACCAATATATATATATATATATATATATATATATATATATATATATCATGTACACTTGTTCACTACTTAAGGGGTCATATCAAAACAACTATAGAATTCAAGACTTCTGATGAATTATACTTCAAAATATATTACTCTATCTAATTAATAATATCATGAACTGAACTCATATTAAAAAAAATATATTAATTTTACAAAATGTGGGACAAATCAATTTTATGCATTAAAAAGTTCTTTAATCCTTCAAATGTCTTATTTTCACTGTTTTTCCACTGTTTAAAATATTTCTGTCTTTACCCAAAGGTTAACCTTTACCATGTTGTTGCTCAACACTTCAAATGTGTGTTGCTAAAATCTAATTGTACAGTTCAAAAAACAATAAATGTTCACTGTTCAAATTTAACACAGTAAGTTGACAAATGTTTTATGCTTGAGGTATACAGTCTTCAAAGAGCTCATTCAAATTGTTGGTTTACTTGGAAAGAGGTATATTCTTGAAACGAATTGTTAGCGTTTTTCTTTGACAAGTTTGTTTCGTACCGGATAAGCTAACTAACTAACAATGCCCAACCCTCCGCCTATTTCTGGGCTTGGGAACAGTAGTAGTAACACAAGGAAGGGCTCAAGATGGATTAGCATTTCTATGATTGAAGAACATCTGTAACTTAAAACAACTGTCAACCAACAACATCGAAGTCAACTTAATCAATCCAAACGCCAAAACAGTTCTATTGTATAGAGTGTGAAGCTAGAAGAAGACACAAGTGATTACTAACAGTAATCTATGTAAGACACTGCGAATCTGTCGGACAGACACCATCAATAATAATCTAATGTGGAATAGAACAAACCAGATTCGTCTAGCTGAGGAAGAAATTAAGTGAAGACGCGGGAGGTGAGTGGAATACACATCGAGGAAATCATCACCCTCATTTGGAATCCTCAAGTCAAGGAAAAAAAAGAGGAAGATCAACAAACACATTACGCCGAGAAATGGATACAGACCTGAAAAGAATAAATAACAACTGGACAGAACCCTGAAGGAAGACCGAAGACAGAATTAGTTGAACAATGCTTATCCGCTTGACTACGCACCATCAAAGGGTAACACGTGTAAGCAATCATTATCAATAATCGTATCATGTTTATCTATTCAAATTAATTTCTTTATTTATCATCTATATTCAAAAGACATGTGCTCATTTTTAATTGATAATGTGCGTGATTCAATCCTACTTAATTATTACATCATCATCAGCGAAAAAAAGCACACTTATCATGATCAAAATGAACGTGAACCAACCGAATTGACCTCTATTTATTCTTAATTGTAAAAAAAATGAGGTCAACAAGTGAGTAGTTTACGTCAACTGGTGTCAGTTTGACGAAAAAGCAAAAGAGATCGAATATTAACAGAGTAAGTGTAACAAACATGTTTCACTGGAAATAGTTCGATTTTCATATGGTTGAAATTGCACTCACTTAGTCTTCTTATTCGTGATTGGCCGTGTTTATATGTCTATGTATATATGTATGTATGCGTGGGTGTGTGTGTCTATGTATGTATATTTAAGATTGAATGTGTCTAGTATGCATGTAGCTGAACCGATCAGCAATTACGTAATACGTCTCATTGTCAACATATCGATGATGAACTTTGATTTGTTGAAAAAGATTTACATGCTATAAGTGTCAATCATCATAATAATAATAATAATAACCTCGTTTTGAGAAAATGAACTAATCTATTTATTTGTCAAACAAGTTGCCGGGTCACTTACTCACTGATTTTTACACCTCGCATTGCTTTCGACCAACAAATTACTTCAAGCTCAAGAGTGTATGTTTTAATCAATTTCTTTTGAAAGAAAGTAACAATTACTGTTTAAACTCCTTCTTCTTTTTAATCCCAAGGTAAGTCTCAATAACTTTGTTTTTTGTTATGACTTATCGGATAGACATGATTAGACAATCACTTTATATCATCAATTAATTAAGGCTGAATTTATTAAGATGAAGCAACGGTTCAGTACTTCTCAGATTACAATCAAACTCAAGTTGAGATTAATCTGTAGAGACCTACAAATGATCAGTCAGCATCTTCTCATATATCACTTATAATCATATTAGTAAAATATATCAAGTCACATAATAATAGGGTTCAGTGCTGCAAGTTCATGTAAGATGAATATATATTTTTTTAGAATTAACTACTAATAAAAATTTTAAGTAGTTTGAAATTAAAAGATGAAATTAATAACATAAATAAAATTTAATTGTTGTATCGTACTGAGTAAACGAGTTAAAATTTTTCAAGTTTTGTAACTGAGTGTAACTGAATGAATTTGTTTATCTATTCTCTGAACAAGTGGCTTTCAAAAAGTTATGAAAATTTTTAAAACTCGCGCGATAACGCTTAACCTTTAGTCCACTAAGTTGACAGCTATCGGTGATAATGTACCTGAAATTAGAACTTCTAATCATTAGCATTCATCAGTAAGATATATTTGTAATTTTCAGAGAATTTACTTTCCTACTTCTACTTTATCACAAGCTTCTATCAACACTATTTGAGTTATAACTTACTTCCTGTACATGATTAAATGGTTTGAAATAAACAGTTATTGGGTTGTAAATAAGTATCATTCATACTGAAAAAATTTACTGTCTTATTACCTAAATCTATTTTGTGTTTGCATCACCAACTAAATTGAAACCTCTTTTTAAAATGGTTCTACATTTGGGATAAATTTGCAATGAAAAGCAATTGTTGGATATCAGTTAATCAGTCTAATGTTCAAACCCGTTTTTTATATCACGTTAAACAACCGAGTAAGAGTGTCACTAACCTGTATATTAATTGTGAGTGTAAAAAATCTGCAATCGCTGTATAGAAGAACATTCTATAACATTGTAGATTTGAAATCGGACCTCCTACAAGTTGATTATTATACCATGGTCAATCACGAGGATATGGTACTTTCAATTATAAACTCTAGCCTTCACTTGAATGAAAAACCCACAGACAACACATTGATTATTTTGATTAACATTTGAAACTTACTATCATTTTCAATAAATTCAATAGTTCTCATCATTCAATTGAGTAAAAATAAGGGAATTTATATCTTTAATAGCCTATCTAAAAGGAAATCGAATGGCCTGTTACAATGAACCAACTTGAAATGGTTAATCGACCAGTTGATCGAACTGAGTCTCATGCAATTGAAAAATAGATTTAATTTCCCCTTTATCCTCGAAAATTAGATCATCCCATAATCAGTGATAAAGTATTTCTAATAAATTCGGTTTTTTCAGTAGAAATTTACTCACACATGAAAAGGCTTTTAGTTGTAGATTGTTTGGACTGAATTGCTGCTAACTCAAGAGAAGATGGAGATTTTCTTAAAATAAGCGTTTCTTTAGACTGACTTATAAAGTGTTTGAGAGTCACTTGGGTAACATGAATTACACAGTTTATAAATTATTACCCAGTAACAGTTGAGTCAATCAACCAGCTACAACTTCGTACTTACGTTGATCAGTTTAGGTTGTCATGCCACATTAGTACAGAGATTCCACTGTCACATCAAATCCCATAGTAGTTTAGGTAGTAAAAGTACTAGCACTAATCGAAGAGATTAAGGTTCCAGGATGTTATTCAAGAAGTAGAATCTAGCGCAATAAATAAAGACTGGGTACACGTACGTCACTGCAGACGATTCAGTTCAGTAATTTCATAGATTTGTGACATTTTTTAGTTTGTTTTGTCTTGTTTCAAAAACATTAAACCGTTTTCGTCATCATCGTTTTATTTTTCAATTTTTTCAGCTTCGCAAAAATGACACTATTGACAAATGTAACTAATCGATATCACAATGAAACGAACAAACAAAATTTCTTCTACAATATCAATGATCAATATCGATGCACAGAAAAAGATCATCATCAATGTTATCTTGATAAAAAATGTCCGAATTATTTTGGACAACCACAACCACAGCAGCACCAACACCAACAACAAAAACAAAATGAATTTCTCTCATTAACTGATTATCAAAATGATGTGATTCGATTAGCTAGTTATTATGAACAAATATTGAAAACTTATGGTAAAGTGGAACTTGAAGCATTGGCCTATAGAATATCTGCTGGTAATGTGAATTTTTGGTTTTTTGAATGACATTGAGAAATAACTGGTTTGTTTTTGTGCATAGAATTATTGAATAAATTCTAGTATTTATGATTTATGATGTGTAGACATTGAAAATTCAATAGATCTATAGTTTTTCAGACAGACAAACATACAAATAGGTACAACACAGAACTTCTTACGTATGTACATCAGTTCACGTTGATATACCACATAGCAGAAAGCCGCAACTGTCAGTTTAAATCACACATAGAAGTATTAGTAGTAATGGAGAAGATTAGGGTTAGAAGATATGATTAGAGAAGTATAATTCAGTGAGATAAGTTTAGAAAAAGAAAAATAGAGATGATGAAGAATTTCAGAAGGTTAAAAGTTGAGCAAACACATAGAGTGGATGCACTTGCGCCACTGTAAACGATTTTGAGCCATGTCGTTCAGTGTCTTCGTCCTAGTATGGGGCTCATTAGCAGTGCCCATCCACTGCCTTACATGCAGGAATCCAATCCAGAATCCTCAGTCCCGTGTGTCAACACTTAACCTCTTGATAAAAAGGTCGTCATTCGATCGATCCAAGATTTTGAATATATGCCTCACATCCCCCCATCCTGTTGAACTCCATTGGTCATGGCTTCTCAATGCCTTGAATTGATTCAAGTTACACATTGATAACTTTGAATGCTGACCTACTAATCAGACACATGATATTACCTGACATTGTATTATGCTGTGGGAAAGTTAGTAGCTACTTAATGTCTGCTTAAATGAATGCATAAACAACTGCTTAAACTAAACTCATCCAATGGATTCCGTATCTGGCTTATTACTTCTGTCGCACAAACGGGTTTATTCAGTAGCATACTTGAAAGCTGTAAATGTCAGATTTAACGCAACCTGTGGTGGTGTTTTGTTCTCTGAGCTGGTTGTTTTGGTTGTGGAGCTTTCATTGTTCTTCTGAACAACATCATCAGCACGAACTTCAGATAGAAGTGAAGCATTAGAATTTCTCCACGTTTGACCTGTAGCTTGTTCTGCTGACCTCGATCTTGATTGGTTGTTGTTGACATTTGACCTGTCGTTGTTTGCAACTATGTTTTGATTGCCTCCCTCTTTTGATCTGTTTCTTGATCTAGTGTCACCTATGATTTTCCTGATTGGTTGATAAATTGGGTCAATGTCGATGTGTTTGTTGATTGCTGATTGACCTGAGTGCCAAGCTTCCAAAAATTCTCTAGTGTTCTTTGTCCTCCCCCTACCTAGTATTTCCACGTTGTTCCAATCAAATGTGTGTCCATAATTGTCGGTGTGTATTGATATAAGCGAAGCGTTGTCGTGGCGTTTGACTGCTAATTGATGTTCACGTAAACGGAGCTGAAGAGGTCGTCCACTTTGTCCTATGTAGTGTTTTTCACAATTTGAGCAATTTATTTTGTAGATGATATTTGGTTTTTCTTCCTTTGTCATTTTGTCCTTTGGTCTACATAGGATTGACTGAAGTGATTCCGTTGGTTTGTGTGCCACACCTATTCCAAATGGTTTCAGTAGTCGTGCCGTATGCTCTGATATGTCTTTGATGTATGGTAGGATGATGCGTTTATTTGTTCCTGTGCTTGATTTCACTCCTGATGATAGTTTTGGTTGATGTTTTTTGATGAAGTTGCGTGGATAGCCGTTCTTTTGGAAGATAGTCATCAGATGTTTTTCCTCGTTTTTTAATGTTTCGTATGTGCTGCAGTGTGTCTTCGCTCTCTTGAACAGAGTTTGTATGCAGTTGATTTTGTGGGTTCTTGGGTTGTTGCTGTCGTAGTTGAGAATTACGTCGGTGTGGGTTGGCTTCCGAAATACTTGAGTTTCTAGTTTTCCTGTGTTAGTTCTGGTGATTAGTACATCCAGGAATGATAGGCTGTTGTTTGATTCCTTTTCCATCGTGAATTTGATGTCATCAAAGACGTTGTTGATCTGATTGTAGATGTTCTCCAGCTCATTCCTTTTGATAATAACGAATGTGTCGTCTACATAGCGAACCCACATTTTTGGCTTGATCACTGGCAGAATCGACGCTTCCAGTCTCTGCATTACCGCTTCGGCGATGAGTCCTGATATTGGTGATCCCATTGGTGTTCCTTTTATTTGTTCGTAGACTCTGTTGTTGAACTGAAGATATGTTGTTAAGCATAGGTCGATGAGTTCAAGCAAACTTTGACTCTGAAGTTTTGTATATTTGTGTAGATTTGTGTCGTTGGTGAGGAGCAGAGAAAGCGTTTCTTTGGCTAAGCTTGGTTCTATTGAGGTAAATAAGGCTGTTACGTCGAAGGATATCATCATTTCGTCGTTGTCAATTTGAATCCTCTTGAGTTTATCCAAGAATTCTGTGGCAGACTTAATGGAGTAGTTGGATTCATCCACCAGATGTTTTAATATCCTTGAGATCTCTCTTGATAAGTTGTAGGTCGGGGTTCCGGGGAGGGATACAATAGGACGTAGTGGGATGTTAGGTTTGTGGAGTTTTGGCCTACCGTAGAATCGTGGAATTGTTGGTCCATTGGATTTCATTCTCCATTGATCTTGTTTTGATATTTGTCCTGTTTTGACAAGCCTATTTAGAGTCCTTGAGATTTGATTGTCCAACTTTTTTATGGGGTTTGTGTCGACTGGTTTATATACGCTTCTGTCCTGAAGTAGCTCCTCGGCTTTCTTGATATATTCCTCCTTGTCCATGATTACTGTTGTGCGTCCTTTGTCCGCTGGAACTATGACTATATCTTCCCTGGTTTTGAGTTTCTTCAGAGCTTTTCGTTGTTGTGCTGTTAGTTGGTTGTTGTCTCTCTTCCGTCGAGTTAGTGGTACTATGGTTTGTCTTATTTCTTGTTGAGTTTCTTCACTTATTCCTGCCGTTTTGAGCGATGACTCTAATGCCGCGAAGAATTCCAGTTTTGAAGCATCCTTCGTGTTGTAGTTTAGTCCTTTTTGGAGCAGTTGTACTTCTGTTGTCGTTAGATGTTGCTTCGATAGGTTGACCACACAACTGTTTGCGTTTTCTTCTGTGGCTGGCTTTGAAATCTTGATTAGTTTGTCTTTGAGGATGCTTCTTCTTTGTTCTCTGTGTCGTCTGCTTGACAGTTCAATCGCCGTTGTCAACGTTGTTAAGTGTTCTGATGTAAGTATTCCTTCTAGTTTTCTTTTTTGTTCATCCATGTTGTGTTGGTATTTGTGGATCCTGTAGTGTGCGTCGGTGATCATTAATTGTACCATATGTCTCCCACTTTGCTCCGCTATTCGCCATCCCATTGGGCAGTTGATTGGTGGTCTATATCTGACACTTGTTGGCAGAACATGCTGACGAAGACATTCGTGGAGAAAAAAACAGTTGTTCTCGAGTGGAAGCCTGCCTTTTGGCGAAATTCTCCCATTTTCGAACAATGTGAAGCGTATCACGCTCACCATCTTAACGCAACCTATTAAAAAAAGCTTAAATTTGAAAGCATTCCACGATTGAGCCACATTTTCGAACCCTGTTCTACATTCTTCAACCTGAACAGTAGGAAAATATCACTAACCACTAGATCGTCTAACAATGAAGAATGACAAAGTTACTTTTGCCTATTAGATGTAGTTACGTAATCTTTTTCATTTCATTGTGATCATCACTCAAATTGCCTTGATTGGTTTAACATTTTCATATAAATATTCATGTATATTAGAGTAAAGCCTGATGACGATCTAATCGAAAACAATATTGTTCGCTTATATGTGTTGTTCTAAAGTTACATGTCATTATCAAGTGAGACTACTTGATAACCAGGTATCATTTTATTATTTCAAATGAATAACTAATTAGTCGGATCCGGAAAAACAGTTTGTGCCTATTGACTGTAGATGGCAGCTGTGATTCATAGACTTGAGCACATACCTATTCTTGGTTATCACTTATCACTTCAGTCGTTACCCAACTTGTCAGGTGTTCCTATATTCTATCTAATTTCAGATAATGTCAAGAGTTACTGAATGGTTTACACTTCTGATTAGAACCACATGCTTTCCATATCGTTAACTTTCCAACCCAGACTCGTTGACTAAATGATATATTGATCTCTAAACAACCTGAAGATCTTTAGTTTGGTCCCTTTTTAGAGTCATGAATCCATGTAACTGAACAGGAACTTGAGAAATTTATAGCTTGATGGTCACAGCCCTTAACCATCAATTCTCAGGTCCAAAATGAGCTGTTATTACTAATCCCCATGCAAAACTGTAACTCTTTCGCTCAGTTATTTCAACTTAATAGAATCGAGCCAGAATGTTGATAGTGCTATCTAGATCAAACTATTCTAATCTACTCAAACACCAGAACTGTATTTTCTCTGGAACTTTTGATAATTCGTTGTACAATGTTTTTTTTTCGAAAATAATCATATCGCTTGATTTTTAGCCTGTCATTCATATGAAGGCCAAAACAAGTTACATTCAACCACATTCAATCTTCCAACAAATTCTTATTCAAAAAATAATGCTTCTTATGATTGTCAATACACTGCTGAACCATTGATCTCGTCATCGCATCCACCGATAACTTATCACCTGAAAATGCATTTAACAGGTTTCAAATCGATCGACTTCTACCAATCACCAAATCAATCGATTAATTGTCTTTTAAATCCAACTAATCATCATCATCATCATTTTAATCCAACCTCATTGATGAATAGATTATCGTGTAAAGTATTTGTCGGTGGTGTACCAGTACGTGGTAATCAAGTGACTACATGGACAAGAGATCAATTGCAAAAAGGTTTATCTGTATTTGGTCCAGTTAGTTTAATATGGCCAAAAGGTACCATTGTGATACCATTTGTTACGGATGAAAGTAATTATAGTCAAGCTATCTGTGAAGCATCACTAAGAACTGGTTTGAAACGAGGTAATTTATACATGGTATATAGTTTAAAGTTTGTTGTAAATTAGGTTCATTTAGCCAATGTAGAATACCAGTACTCGTGCCGAAGACATTCTGTTTGTTTATCATTCGAAACTCTCCCATTTAACAATAACTCTCCCTGATGTATATAAGACAACAGGCACAGGATATTTACTGTATCTCAGGGGCCTACAACTAAAAGTTTATAATGGTAATAATGGCAATGTTTTATTGTATGTTTAGCTTCGAATATCCAATATCCATCAACAAGTTTCCTTTATCAAATAATTAGCGGTTAGCAGTTATAAGTAAGCAGTTTAGAAATCGACATCTTACTAACAGCAGATTGCCAACTACAACGATGTCGCAGATTGTACTTTTTCACACCTTATTAAGCGAGAGCTCGTAAAGTTTTCATAAACCCGCCTGAATAAGTTGCGCAATTAACAGAGATGGTTAGCTTATTAAAACAAAGGAGACGAGGTGACTTGTTGAAATACTTTGACGTTAGAAAACAAGTTACTCAACTATTGGAGCAGGCCGCTGTACATAAAATAAGTTAATCAAAAGTCTTTTCATGCATATGCTGTCGGTTTTAAAACCTAATTTTCTAGCCACTTGGTTATCATTATGTAAGATACTGGTTTGTAAACTGAGCCACAAACCTCAGCTCAGCAACTTTTACATTATTCCTAGCTAATGTGATTTTTTCCAATCTGCTATTCACTACATGTACGATGAAATCAAAAGATAATTACACAACAGCATTTCAGTAGTTCTTAATGCACAGCAGAGATAAGAATGGACAAGAAGACTGGGTGTTTTTAACTAATCACCTTTCACTATAATAGCAAGAGTGGGCTAAGTTCCTATTTGTCTATGCTCGATGCCCAACCCACATTTCCTTTCACTTAAACACATCCGTATCCCGTCGCACAAGACTCAATCTCAGCTTAAGAACGAATAAACTATACACCAGTAATGAATAAATCAATCAATCTAATCGATTTTCATTTTGATTTTTTCTAAGGTTATTGTTATGCATTATTCAATGATGTAAGAAGTGTCACACTGTTACTATCAATGTGTTATCGTCGTACCAAAGGTTTCTATATTAATCTGTCAACATTATGTCCTGATTTAGAAAAATCTCGATTAGATTCTTTACAAATTATTCCATGGGATAAACAAGATACATTTTATCAACCTATTTTCAATGAATATGACAACATTACCAATAGGTGAGTTCATGTTCCACAATATCTTTTGTACTTAAGAATCAGAATGAGGGTGGAAAGGTTCTTCTATTCATTGCACCTATATAAAGGTTTACTTACAGAAAGCTATGAACAATGAAAAGCTTTCTATGACACAAATATCCCTGCATCCTTTTGCTGAAAACATAACCCTGATTTTACTGAATTATGTAAGAAGCTAGGATATATGTAGGTTAATGGTGTTCGACCATAGGTGTCTCCGAAGCAGTGCTCGTATATCTTGAGACAATCAAGTAAGCAATGCTGTTATTAGGAAATGGTTACTATATAAGGATGGTAATTCTTTAGACGAAATACGGAAATTTCATCAGTTGAGGTGGTTAGGAAATCTTTTACCTATACCAAACCACCAACTACCTCGATGAGCAATGTTTTTGGTGTAGGTCTATATTGGAAGAAGGTTAGGGGCGGCCCGGCCAAAACATGGCACCAATTCATGAAGTCACTGACAAGTGGACTGAGTCATGTTGGCAGATGTAGGCTTCCTGGCTGGGGTCTGTGAGACGAAATTCACCGATGGATAGAGACCCTGAATGAAAAATCCTCAAAATCGTTTCAATGGTGCAGGTGCATCCACTCTTTGTGTTCTCTCACATTCTAATCTTCTGAATTCCTTATGACCTTTATTTGTCTCTTTTTAAGTTTATTTTACTGGATTATACCCTAATCTTCTCTATTACCTCTAATACTTTTACTTCCTCTACCACTGTGGGATTTGAATTGACATTCGCATCACTCTGTGCTAGTTTGTTACGGGAACTTGAACCGATATTTGTACGTACGAAGTTCTGTGTTATAGTTGACTGATCAATAGATACTTTATGTATTACTATACTGAGTTTCATGAAATGGAACTGAATGAAATGGACTGAAACTAACAATAAGCGTAAAAATTCAGCTGGTCAATTCAATTAACTTCAAGATAAAACCGGCTTCATGAATCCCAGAAGTGTAACTGATTGTCGTATTGGTGTATATCAGCAATACGCTTTCGAACAATTTAGTCGAAAATTTACCGGCCAAGATGTTTATATGTTTAAGGTTGTAATAAATCGCTCATCGTTGTATGACCTACTGAATTCTTTAAAAATCCAAAATGAATCTCCCCTATCCTAACTGACTTTTAACTCCATTTCATTTGCTTTGTGTTCAACTAACTTTGTGTGAATTTGAGACAGATAAATTTTACATGTTGGATAGCCAATCTTATCATTCTTTATAAAAAAAACTTAGCGCTGTAGATGAAACGGTTTCTTCTTATTATTAACTTAAATGAAACTGTTTTTTATCAACTTGGTAATTGATTTTAATGTCAATATGATTGATTTTGTATAGAAATGGTGAAAATATCAATCTTCAATCTGACGAAAGAAGACTAGGAACTGAAACTCGAACTAAAGTTTATTCCGTATTTGTTGGTGCATTGCATGGAATGATGACAGCACAAGCTTTATTCACTATTTTCAGTGATCTATTTGGTAATGTTAGTTATGCTGCATTGGATACAGATAAGTATCATTATCCGATAGGTAAGTTATCAGTACATATTTATGTTACTGATATATTTTGTAAGTAGTTAAAAATGTTTAATGCATTTTGAAGTGATGTTAGGGAGTTTTGCGTCGTTAAAAAGAAACCATGTATGGTAATTTTAAGCAGTTTTTTACACACTAGTCACTAACATACCGTGTGCGGTTTATCGATAAATAAATTTAAACCATAACTACACTTGAGGATGACAACATGTAAAAAAGTTTCAATTATAAATTCTTATTCCCACATGATTGAAATCCAAACAGTGCTAGTATAGAGATAAATATCATAATTTAGTCTGTAAAAGAGTTTTATGATGTTCATTTCAATCTGAATACATCGTAGCCCTGATGAGCATCCGCCATTCCAACAGGGAACTAATTCTAAAATTTTCAGGTTGCCTTGTGATCTCATAACCTGTAAACAGCTGAGTTAACGTTGATTGGTCCTTGTTTTCAACTTATTAACTGGAGCACAATAAACCATTTAATCTGGATTGTATTATCAGCGCTCACACAAGCAGAGTAATTCATCTCTGTGTAAAAAGAACATGTACATGAAGCACACTGTAGTTAATAGTTGAGTCATGTAAGTCAGTTGATGAAAATTGTTGGAATTCGATTTTCCTCTGTCAGGTTGAGATGAATATTAGAAAAGTTGGAACTTTCAAAATTATCTTTTGAGTTATTATGGAACAACCTGGGCTGCTGAATTTTTTCTTCGAACTCTAGGCTGGGGATAGAGAAAGGCTTATGGAATGTAGGAATGTAGCTTACATTAGCTCAGCGTTAATGGTGTCGAACAGAAGATACATAGTAGCTCAAGACCAAGGACTTAAGTGTATAGTCAGAATAACAGATACAGGGTGGAATAAAGTGTAAACGGAATTTCTGACTAGGAAACGTAGCACCTGATATTGATTATCGTCTTGACGCATAATATTAAATCACAACACTTGTTTATTTAAATAAGGTTAATTAAGCTCTTCTCTCGGTTGTTTTACACTTTTATGCTGCTTATAGGATCAGGACGTGTAGCTTTCAAATCACCAGAAGGCTATTTGGCTGCTGTAAAAACCAATTTTATACGTGTTGAATGTCAGGTGTTTAGTAAGGTGGTAAGTGACATGTCTTTTTTTACTGAATAGAAGGCTATCCATATAGCTTCTTCCGTTAATCCAATCAGAGATAAATCGAATAGTGTTACTGTCGATGAACCGTCTGTCTCTCTCTCGCTTGCAAGACTACACGGTGACACAATAGTTTTTTTCCCTCTGAAGATTAACGTTTCAGAAGATAAGGATATGACAGAACACAAGAAATTTTTGCACATACGCGATCGCAAACGGTCTAGAGCCATGTCATTCAGGGTCACTAACCATCGGTTAATTTTGTCTCCCAAATCCCAAACAGGTAGTTTACACGCCCGCGAGACGAAAGTCACCAATGGTTAGAGACTTTGAACGACATTGCTCAGAATCGTTTGCAATGGTGCAGGTGCATCCACTCTTTGTGTGCTTTTTAATTCTAACTTTCTGAATTGATCATAATCACTATCTTTCTTATTCTAAATTTATCTCACTGAATTATACTTCTCGAATCATATCTTCGCTCCCTAATCCTCTCCATTGCTGCTAATAATTCTACTATCGCTATTATTCTTGGATTTGAACTGACAGTTACGTTTCTGTGCTGACCTGGTATGGCAACTTGAACTGATGTATTTACGTACGAAGTTCTGCGTTGTATCTGTCTGTCTAACATGACTCACTACTTGTCGGCGACTTCATGGATTTCTTCCATGTTTTGGTTTGGTTGTTCCTAGATTTCTTCCAACCTACTCCGACACCACAAAACATTGCCGTCAGTGGGTAGGCATACGTAGCACATGTCCCAACCATCTCAACACTTCATCTATTGATTTGCCACCCCTACCTAGTACTCATTTACCTAACGACAGCATTGCTTGCTCGGTTGTCCTAGGGTAGACGAGCAATGGTTCAAAAACATCTACAATCGAATACAGATAACCTACAAATATCCTCTTCTCTACTTGATACATAATTGAAATTCAACTATTTTAGCGTTATTTTCCCAACGCATTGAATTACGATATCTTGTGGCAGAGTCTTGGAGGTTTGTGTTTTTACACATTGGAAATCATCAATCAATCATTGATAGACCATTATTAGAAACCTGGAAGCATTGAAAGACGGCCGTTTTGTCCTGGTATGGGACTCATCAATGGCAGTGCGCATCCACGACTCCTGCTCCTCGCAGGATTCGAACTCGGGACCTTCGGCATTTTAGGCGAACGCCTTACCATCGGACCACTGGTCCGGCATCCAACGATGTTAATGTCCAACTCTGATTGATCTAGGGATTTTGCGTGACCTCACCCATTTGTCTTTGGTAGTTACTGCCTACACCCGACAGGGTTGAACTCCATTAGTCACGTCTTCTCAACAAGAACTCCGAGAATTTCCATTTTGCTTTTATTATACATCACTTATACCATTCTATTTCACGCGCTCTCTCTCTCCCTCTTTCTCTCTACAGATACAAATTGATCCCTACCTTGAAGATGCAATGTGTTCAAAATGTTTCTCAGCACCTGGTGTCTATTTCTGTCGTCATTTGAAATGTTTCGATTATTTCTGTCCAAAATGTTGGATTAATTATCATGGTTCGTCAAATATGACAACAACCACAACAACATCAACATCTACACCTCATAAACCATTAAGACGTACACTAAGTCCTAATTCATTGAAAAAATTCCCTATACATTTTTAAACTATTTTATTTAGAAAAAGTACAACATGAGTTTATTTTACTATCCTACTGTTTTTAGAAAAAATGTATCCATTCTCTAAGCATAAAGAAGAATGGGGGTTTGCAGTTCAAAAAAATCGTTTGGCATATCATCATTGACGTTTAAAGAGACACCAGTCTATTTTTTAAATTATCGATTTATTTATCTGATATGTATTTTCTGTTGTATTTTTGTATTGGCAAATTTTAGTTTGTACAGTTTATGTGATATTTTTTCTCCTTCGGTGTTTATTTGATTAAAAAAACAGCGGCTTTTTTTAATTCCTTTTTCAATAATTTTTTAGCCACTTTAAATGTGATAAGTATATATATATTTAATAAATTAGACTGATTGACTTCTTTATCATGAATTGAATGAGAGAGGAATTAGAGAAAGGTTGAAGAACTGAAGTACTGTTTAGAAATTTCTTGTCAGAGTAGTACAGTCAGTCAGTCAGATGCAACGTACGTAAGTACATCATCAGTTCATGTTGCCATACCACATCAGCACAGAGATATAATTGTCAATTGTCAAATCCCATAATAGTAGAAGAGGTAGTAAAGGTATTAGAAGTAATCTGAGTGGTTAGAATTAGAAGATATTATTCAAGAAGTATGATTCAAAGAGAAAAGTTTAGAAAGACAAAACTAGAGGTTTTGAAGAATCCAGAAGATTAGGATTTGAGAGAGAGAGAGAGAGAACGCCATTGCAAATGGTTTTGAGGCTTGTCATTTAGGGTATCTAACCATCGATTATTATCATCTCGCGGACCCCAACCAGGTAGTCGACAAAAACCTATATGGCTAAGTTCACTCGTCAATGACTTCATGGATTTCCGTCATGTTTTAGTTTGGCCGCCCCTAGCTTTCTTCCAACCTATTCCTACTGCAAAACAGAGCTCGTCGCAGCAGCCGGTGGTTAGGCATACGCAACACATGTCCCAACCACCTCAACTGATGAAGTGACACTACTGCGTCTATTGATCTGCCATTCTTACCTAGCACCCGATTCCTAATAACAGCGTTGCTCACTCGGGTGTCCCAGGGTATACGAGCAATGCTTCGAAGACACCTATGATCGAAAACCAGTAACCTACGAATATCTTCTACTCTCACTGGCCATGTTTCACAGCCATAAAGTAAGACGGAGCGAACTACTGCGCAGTACATTTTTCCTTTAGTCAGCAAACGGATATCTCACCTACGTCATAAGTGACGCAGGTTGGCAAAAGCTAATTGAGCAATCGGTATTCGCGCAGAGATTTCGTCAGTCACCAGGCCATCAGCACTAATGAGACTCCCGAGACAAGCGAAGCGGTCAACAAGTTCAACTACTTCACTTGCATTGTTGTTTAGGTTAGTCAGAAGACTCTGAACTTTGTCAGCGTCTTCACCAAGTAGGACTATGTCATCGGCATATTCTAAGTCAATAAGCGAGCCACCTGGTAGAAGGTCTACTCCTGAAAATTCAGATGTGGATAATGTTATTTCTAGGTCAGAGTAGTACATATATATGAGACTAATCAGTGAACAGCTCGGATACAGTTGGACGATCTAGACTTCGCAGATGATCTAGCTCTTCTATCACACAGGCAATAACAAATGCAGGACTAAAGTAACTGCGTAGGCTGCTGCAATAGGTCTCAATATACACAAACGAAAAAGCTAGATCCTTTGATACGACTCAATATGAACCAATCAAATCACATTTGACGGTGAAGCTTTAGAGGAAGTAAAAACCTTTACATATCTGAGTGGCATCATTGACAATCGAGGTGGATGGAATGCAGATGTGAAGGCACTGACTGGAATTGAAAACAACTATATTCTAACACCAAAGTTAGAATGTCAAGACAGGTCTACTGTATGGGTCAGAAACACATTACACCGGGAAATGGAGACAGACATGCGATAAAGAAACATCGACTATATAGTACTAGAAAGACAGGAGAAGGTCAGAATAGGTTGGAGAATGTTGGTCATATCAGTCTACGCTCTACTGAGGTTAACAGGCATAAGTCAGTGAGTGAGTGAGAACCTTTAGGAATTTCATGACCAACCTACAGCAAACAGTAAATATGATATTCGCCAATCAACTTCATATATTCCACAGACTACATGCACATATCTTCTGGCACTTTAGATAGATATTAACATTTGCAATTCATTAAAACAGAAATTTAAACTGTGTTATAGAAAATATAATTGAAACCCATAAATCACTAGGCAATCTGAAACACCTCTTTAGCATGATTGTTACTATTATTAATAATGGCTTTATGCAAGTACAATTCTGAACACTTAACATTTCAACATTCATTCAATCAGTACTTTATACAGGATCAAACCGAGAACTTCAAAAAACCTCACAATGAACATCGTAGAGCGAAGTCACTGATTTCAAACAGGATGATTCATATTCCCACTTTCTGTCTATTTTCAATACATCATGACCTTCAACTAGCGTTAATGGTGTACAAATTGCTTCGTAGTTGATTTTATTGACGTCATTGATGCATCCCTAACTATGAATTAATATCACGTGACAAATAAATAACACCAATCAGAATTGCGACCTAGGATCAGATACCTTGAGTCAGCTCTAAATTCTGATTGGTTCAAAAATGGACAGCTTCTGTAGCCAAACTCGACAAAATTTGTTGACTCAAATCATGAATAAATCATTGTTCGACCAGGATTATAAATTTGGAATTACTGAACGGCCGTCTCTTCCTGGTATGGGTGTAGGCAGTAACTACCGAAGACAAATGGATGAGGTTGTGTAAAATCTTTAGATCGATCAGAGTTAGACAATGAAACCTTTGGGTGCCAGTAAATATATATATATATTTAATAAATGACTTCTTTATCATGAATTGAATGAGAGAGGAATTAGAGAAAAGTTGAAATACTGAAGTACTGTTTAGAAATTTCTTGTCAGAGTAGTACAGTCAGTCAGTAAGTCAGTCAGATGCAACGACGAACTTCGTACGTAAGTAAATCATCAGTTCATGTTGTCATACCACATCAGCACAGAGATGTAATTGTCAATTCAAATCCCATAATAGTAGAAGTAGTGAGATGATAATAATAATCGATGGTTAGAGACCCTGAATGACGTAGCTCAAAATCGTTCGCAATGGCGTTCTCTCTCTCTCTCTCAAATCCTAATCTTCTGGATTCTTCAAAACCTCTAGTTTTGTCTTTCTAAACTTTTCTCTTTGAATCATACTTCTTGAATAATATCTTCTAATTCTAACCACTCCGATTACTTCTAATAACTTTACTGCCTCTTCTACTATTATGGGATTTGATGTTTTGCAACAAGAACAGTCCAGTTCGATATGATGAACTGTTATTTTGCAAATTAAAACGATTTACGATATGGTTTTCCGATTTTACTGAGTAACTCTGTGTTCTCTTTCACTACACTAGGAGTTGCTATTTCTTTAATCTTCCTCTGGATAATAACACTTGGAAGTTAAAAATTTCTTCGCTGACATGGTCAAATTATTCAAAATCTTCGAAAAACTTTATAAATCAACATGGAACCATCCTTAAAATGGATATATTGTCAATTGAAAAAAATTCATTTCGTTTTCAAACAACAATAATTTAAAAATTTGACATTGTAGAATTTGGGAGATGGTTGTTTTACATTGAAATCATGAATAAATCATTGTTCGACCAGGATTATAAATTTGGAATTACTGGACGGCCGTCTGTTCCTGGTATGCGTGTAGGCAGTAACTACCGAAGACAAATGGATGAGGTTGTGCAAAATCCTTAGATCGATCAGAGTTAGATATTGACACCTTTGGGTGCCAGCTCAGTGTTCCAGAGTTTGGGAGTTCGCGCACAAGACCGAAGGTTCTGGATTGGAATCCTGAGAGTGGCAGGAATCGTGGATGCGTACTGCAGATGAGTCCTAAAGCAGTACGAAACGGCCACATTTTAGTACGCTCAGGTTTCTAATGGTGGTTGAACAATGATTTATTCATTATTTCACTGTATAATAATTTAAAAATTGTAATTTCTTTTCTTACATTTATTACAAATGGTCAAAATGTAAAGCATTCAGAAGAACAATGGAAGCTTCACAACCAAAAAACATTGAGCTCATAGCACCACACCAAACACCACCACCACAATCATTCACCTGAGCTACAAATCTTCTTCACCATCTCAATTCTTAGTATAATATAAGTAGTGTTTTTAATATCATTAAAAATTCAAACAGATACAGCTGGAATCAAATGGATCTGAAGAGAATTATCTTACTAACTTTGTAGAAGTGAGAGATGATTTTGACAATGTAAATAGCATACAACTAACTAAATAATGGAAGCAGAGACCACCAGTAATACTAAGAAGATTGAAAAAAAAGATTCTATGATGTTAGGGTTATTTATCAAATATATTCTAAGAGAACTATTTTTGGAAGTCCAATTCTACTGGTCAATATTATTATAGTCGTCCTAACTGTATAAAATGTGCATCATCTGTGAAAGCTTATTATTTCATTCAATCCTTCTGTACTCGACCCCATTAACAACTTCATCTAACGGTGTTGACCGGGAATTCACCAAGTTCTTGTGAGGAACCATGAGCAGTGAACTATGCACAAAATAAATGATTCCATATCATTATGCTACGACTGATAATTTTTTGTTGATTTCATTTAACAAAGTTCAAGTACATATTCATCGAAAGTATTTATAGTTAGTTAGTTAAATTACAAATTAAATCAATAATAGTTCATATATTATCAACACTTGTAAAAAAAAAAACAAAACAAAACCTACCAAGAGCAGTGCATGTTACATGTTATTAAAACTTGACAATTGAACATTTATCATCACCGTCATCATCATCATCATCCAATGAACAACATTCAGATAAAGTTGACCAAATTGCTCCAATCATAAAAAAGCAACTCAACTCACAAGATTACTCATCACAAAAGAGTTAACCAATCAAAATACACAAACTATGATTAATGATGTCCTTGAAAAAATCAATGAAACCTATACCTATATATATATATATATATATATATATATATATATATATATATATATATATATATATATATATATATATATAACTATACATTAAAACTATACTTGTCCTGTTATTATTTCTTATTCAATATCTTATAAATGTCCAAAACATTATCATTAATACTTCAACCATGCAGTATTGGATTTATTATTTTAGCCTTAATTATGGATAAATGGTATTGTGGTCAATTGTTAACTTCATGTTTACAAAATTATCAATCTGTCACATTGATGTTAATGTTATGCTTATCAATTGGTTTAGCATTTCTATTTGTTGCATTTTCACTTGATCTAGTGACAGTTTGTTCAAGATCATTAGAAATCAATCCAACTTATGCAACAATTCGTTTGGTTATGTTACTTGTTGGTATAGTTGGCATATTTTCTGGTCTAACCGTATATGCAGTGAAATTAGACCAGAATTATTCTCAATTAATTTGTATTATTGGTATTGTATTAGCTGGTCAAGTTTCACTATTGAATTTCTTTTTATATCCTTGTTTTAATGTTTATCAACAAAGAATCATTGTTAAATAATTTGTTGTTATTATTACTACTAACAGAACTGATTACTTACTTAGTTACTTACATTGTAAGTTGAATAGATTTTGCCAATTGTGTCAAATTGTTGAATATTGAAAAATCTCTCGTTTACAAATGTTGTTGTTCAATGATCAGTTTTTTTTCAAATTTTTATAGTTTGTTTTTATGAAGTGACTGATATATTCTTGCTTAATTTTTGTTTTGTGTGAGATGTAAGAAAAAGATGTTAATATAAACTTAAAAATATAAATATATCATCACAAGAGATGACTTATTTCTTCTTATTTCATAGTAGTGTGATGATATTTACTATTGACAACGATGATTATAAATGGTATTCAGGGGATCTGTAGCAGAGTATCATCGTGAATTTACAGACAAAGCGAAGACTGTTTGATTTGGACGCATTGCGTGAACAAAGTGTTTTGAAGAATAGGAGACATGTGGAAGAAGATAGGCAAGACTGTATGTTTGCTTGGTGAATGAATGTTTTATAATAAAGTATACAAACTTTGGCTTGTAAACTGTGTCTCCTTTTTTATTGCACTAGGGCTTTACCCATTGATTAGGTGTATCGTAGAATAGGTTCCTTTGATTCTGGTCAAAAAGAGGTTCCGGTCAACTATACATCATTATGGGTTCATAGAGAGTGTTGAGTTCCATTTAAATCATGAATCGATCAATGTTAGACCACTATTAGAAAGCTGGAAGCACTGGATGGTCGTCTGGATTTCCGCGAGATGAAGTTATGCATGCGAACTGCTGGTAAGTTCTATACTTGGACGGAATGGCCGTCCAGGTTTCTAACAGAAGTCTAACATTGATCGATTTATGATTTCGATGGAACTAAGAATAAAAAGAAGTGATTTTTTTACGTTCACATAGAATCACGTCTGCATACAACTACATTTAAAATTAATATAGAAAAGTGGTAGAAATTTGTGTCACCAAATGCTTTCAGATATCATCAATAAAACAAGATGATAAAGTCAATTGACAACGAAATCAAGTGAGTAGTTGTAATTTCAATAATACTGAAAAAGAGTACAAGTTAATGATCATGCCGAGAACTCTCCGAACATTCATCATAGTAACGATTTAGACCCCAATCATGTCATCTGCAGTGAAATACCTAACTCAGTTTAACTTTATGGACTAATCTCTTTTATGTATTTACCTGTTATTATATATTTTACTCAACTGACTCATACTCATAGCTCTTTTATCCCAAACAAAAACAAATTCAGGAGAAGATTAACGGCAGATACAAGTGTTTATTTTATAGTTGTCTACGCAAGATACTGAAGATCGATTGATCAGACACTATCAACACCAACTTAGTTTGTGAGACAATAAACCAGATTCCTCTAACAGAGGAAAAAATCAAGAAGAAGCGCTAGAAGTGGTTAGAACACATATTTTCAGAAAGCACTCAACTGTATAACTCGACTTACCCCAATTTGGAATCATCAAGGCTAAAGGTGAACTGGAAGACCAAAGAATGAAAGACAGTCATGAACAGAGTGGCCAGTATAATTGGACAGAAATTGAAAGGAAGACGCAAAACGGAGTAGGTTGGCGAATGCTGGTCGCTGTCCTATGCTCAATTGAGGATAACAGGTTTAAGTATCTAAGTAATTAAGTAAGTAAGTAAGTTAGTAAGTAAGTAAGTAAGTAAGTAAGTTAGTAAGTAAGTAAGTAAGTAAGTAAGCAAGTAAGTAAGTGCATAAGTAAGTAAGTAGATAAGTAAGTAAGTAAGCAAGCAAGTAAGTAAGTAAGTAATTAAGTAAGTACTGATATCTCTAAAATGCTAAAACAATCAGTGTCTGAACATCCGCCTCCATAACCATACCAAAAATCAATAGAAATCCATGGTCTCATCGTGAACTAAACGCACAAGCGCGCACACACACACACTGACAAACTCATCAATACTGATTATCATAACCACTCATTGACAAAGAAAAACCTTCAACATGGTTCATTCCATAATACAAAGACAGAATATAATTAGACTGGTTGGATAATTATTTGAATTCTATTGTCTTATGTTATGATTATAAAATTGTTTTTAGAAAATGGAATGTTTTAATTAAAACAAAGAAAGAAGAAAACAAGAATTTGAATGTCACCACTACTTTTTTCTTTGTTGTATAGTTTTTTTTTCAAAAAAAAAACATTTAAACTTTCTAAGCCAAATCAGTTTAATTTATTGATTGGTTTTTATAAAATGTATATACGAACAGTAGTAGACTGTTGATAACCATTTAGACCATCATTGACAACGTGGAAGCACTGGATAGCTGTTTCATTCTGGTATGGGACTCCTCGATATATGCAGCCCCATAAACAGGAATCGAATCTAAGACATTTTTGGTCCCAGTTGGGAACGCTTGTGGTTGAGACATGTGTTACAAATGCCTAGACAAGCTATGTCTTTTAATAATTATAGGTGTAGACTGGAAGAAAGTTAGAGGCGGTCAGACGAAAACATGACACAAATCCATGAAGTCACTAACAATTGAACTGAGTCATGTTGATGTAGATGTAGACAACCTGGTTGGCGTCTGCCAGACAGTAGTAACCGTTGATTGGAGACTTTGAATAATGCGGTTCATAATCGTTTGTAAAGGCGTAGATGCGTCTTTTAAATTTATCTTACTGAATTATACTTCTTGAATCATATCTTCGCTACTTAATCTTCTTCATTACTGCTAATACTTCTATTATTGCTATCACTCTTGGATTTTAGCTGACAGTTGCGTCTCTGTTCTGATGGGGCATGGCAACCTGAACTGATGTACCTACGTACGAAGGTCTTTGTTGTATCTGTTTGTCTGTCTGAAACATGCGTCTATACTTTATCTTTTCTAGAAATCTGAACTTCTGGATTCCTCATCACCTTCATCTTTCTCTTCTCAAACTTACATCACTTGCATATTCTCCGTGATTAATATCTTTGAATCCTAATGTTTCCGATTACTGCGAATACTTTTACTACCTTTACCACTATGGGATATGAATCGACAATTGCACTTCTGTGCTAATGTGGTATGGTAACTTGAAATGGAGTATGTACGTACGTACGTACGTACGTAGTTCTGCGTTGTAGCCAACCGACTGATGATCATGTATGATCAGCCCACGCGTATTTTCATTCTATTGGCTGTAATGTTAGTCACCATAGTAATTTGGCGACTCATTTCTTTGACTATATATATGGGTGCACATTTTAATTCTATTCATTTGCTCCTCAGCATTTGCATGTCATTTCGCTCTCGCTTTGGATGCCTATGGTTTATTGATCAATGCGGTATGATAATTAACATCAACGCTTTCAGTCAGTCAGATGCAACGTAGAACTTCGTTAGTAAGTACATCAGTTCATGTCGCCATACCACATCAGTACAGAGATATAATTATCAATTCAAATCCCATAGTAGTAGAGGTAGTAAAGGTATTAGAAGTAATTGGAGTGGTTAGGATTAGAGGATATTATTCAAGAAGTAGGATTCAGTGAGAAAAGTTTGTCAAGTCAAAACTAGAGGTGTTGAAGAACCCAGAAGATTAGGATTTGAGAGAACACAAAGAATAAATGCACCGGCGTCATTGCAAACGGTTTTGAGCCATGAGAGGTATGTGTGGGTGTAGGGAGGATTTGATTTCGACCAATTCGGTCTCGTGTGCTGTTACGGGTATGAGAAAGGTGATCACTTTCCGGCCACCTCCACACCGTGGAAGGTTGTTTCTTGAGGAACCTGAAAAGGAAGATAGATTAGCGTTGGTCTTAGAGACCTGGGTGCGTGACCGCAGAGCCCAAGGGACAACTGCTTGAGACCGGTCACGCACAGCCTTTTGATGAAAGGTTCTTAAAGGCCCTTAGGGGGCACCCTTACCGCCGGAGACGGTAATCCGTGAGGTAGAGTGAGGTGTGACAGTTTTAGGGTCGACCTTTTCTAACTCTTTCCTGTGAGAAGGCAGCATCGCTGCACATGCTGGATGTCCGATGGAAACACCTTACTGCTGTCACACCCCTCTGCAGTCTGCAGTACGACTTGGCCCTCAGACCTTGGGTAGCTGCTTTTAGTCTCATCTTCCACCAATCGACCTGCCTGACATAGTAGAACCTTCAGGAACATATATTACAGCCAGTATAGCTCGGTTGGGTCATCACGATAGGCAAGCCCGACCACCACGTCAAGGTAGCAGCTACGGTGGGGACATCAACGCTTTTTAGTATTCATCTGTTGATTTCTAAACGACGTTAGGCGTTATCTGGTAACAGTTATAAGGATGAACAGGTTATAGAATTTAGAAATTTTTATCAGAATATCAACTGTTAAAAGTTCATAATTTCAATGAAACTCTATAATGACAAAATTAAAATTTATTGATAAACCAGACATTTGACATGATAATGAGTATTTATTTCGGTTACCCTTTAATGAATGATTTGTGGATAAGGCGGTTTATTTCCACACTTGTGTTTTCTTCCTCATGTTAATAAAACAGTCTCGTTTCATTGCAATGAATAACAGACAAAAATCATTTTGGAGTCACAATAACAAATAGTTATATTAGTAACAGTAATCAATATTGAACTCAATTACAACCCTTAAAAAAATCGATCTTCTTTCAAGTGATTACAATATAAATGATAGCTTTGAAGTGTAATGAATATGTTTCGAGTTGTTAAAACTTCAGGTAGAATGTTACATAACATAAGTTGGTCAATGGATAAATGTTCATGAGAGAAAATTATTAATAACGTCAATTTTCTAAATAAATTTATATTAAACTACAAATACACACTGTTGAATAGTGTTAAAATATTAATCAGTTATCTTAAAGAAATAATTTTGTAAGTCTATTTTGATTGGTCAATTCCTATTTAAGGTCGTCGTAAACTTTCAAGTTCACATACTTTTAAATGTTGTTTCTTATTGATCAGTATTCACGGTCGACCTAACAGGATTAATAAGCATTGTCTGTAA